CATCCTTCCTCTTCAAGGGGATGATGATACGGTGGTCGAGGGACATTAGCCCTTAGTGCCATGGTGGATGTGGGATGCTAAAATGACTACGCAACCTCCTAAAATCCTGGTGTGGAACGTGAGAGGGCTCAACTCCCCGGCGCGTAGAAACACTATCTTCCAAGCGGTAGACGCGGCCAAAGTGGATTTAGTGTGTCTTCAAGAAACAAAGATGGAGAGCATCTCGGATGATATTGTAAGACAAACCCTTGGCAATAGATTTGAAAATTTCTATTATGTTCCGGCGGTGGGCACTAGAGGGGGAATTCTACTTGCATGGGATCATTTGGTGGTATCCGTCACCAATACTCACCTCACGGCAAATACCCTTACGGCACTCGTCCAACAGGAAGGGCTTCCCATGTGGTGGATTACCGGGGTCTATGGGCCTCAAGGTGATGCTGAAAAGGTGGCTTTTCTTGAAGAGATTCGTGACGTCAGAGACCTCCATGCAGGGCCATGGGCGATTGTGGGCGATTTCAACTTACTTGTCAATCCGGAGGACAAGAATAAGGCAACTTCCAATAGGCGCATGATGGCTAGATTCCGGGCCATGCTAAATAGGCTCGAGCTCAAAGAGCTGTACCTCAATGGAAGGCGCTACACGTGGAGCAATGAACGTAGAAACCCAACGATGGAGAAAATAGACCATGTTTTCGTTACGAACTGCTGGGAGGATATATACCCGAAGAGTCTGCTAACTACGCTCGGTACGGCAATCTCGGATCACTGCCCATTGCTTGTGGACTTGGATGCCGAGTTTGAGGTGGGCCACCGCTTCAAATTCGAATGCTTTTGGCCCAAAGCTCTAGGATTCTTGGACACGGTGAAACAGGCGTGGCAATCCATCCCCTCGGTGGGCAACCCGTTTACAGTGCTGGACAACAAGCTGCGGGTAACAGCAAAGGCGTTGCAAAGTTGGAGCGACCGTTGGATTGGTAACACCCGTCTCCAGATAGCGTTGGCAATGGAAATCATTTCAAGGCTGGATGTGGCGGCAGAATCTAGGAGGCTGTCGGATCAGGAGCATGGACTCCGCAAGCTGTTAAAAAGGAAACTGCTAGGGCTTTGCTCCTTGGAAAGAATGATTGCCAGGCAAAGATCGCGCTTGCTTCACCTGAAGGTGGGGGACGCAAACACTGCTTTCTTCCAAAGACACGCGAGACATAGGCAGAGGAAGAACTCTATAACTGTCATTCAGCACAATGGCGAGATCTTCACTGGACAGGAGAGGATAGCGGACGCGGTGGATGTATACTTCCAGGATCTGATGGGAACAACTGGAGCTAGAGAAGCAAATATCAACCTGGACGCGCTTGACTTACCATCTATGGATTTATCAAGGATTGAGGCACCTTTTACGGAGGAGGAAGTTCACAAAGCCATCAAGGGCATGCCTTTGGACAAGGCGCCGGGACCCGACGAGTTCACCGGCAGATTCTTCGCAACTTGTTGGCATATAGTGAGGATGGATTTATGAGGGTGCTTGAACATTTTCATATGGAAGATATGCGGGGCATGGCCACAATCAACAAGGCTCTGGTCACGCTGCTACCAAAGAAGGCCGGCGCAATGGACATTAAGGAGTACAGGCCGGTTAGCCTCATCAGTGGACCAATCAAAATCTTTGACAAAGTCCTGGCAACGAGACTCGCGGAGGATCTTCCAAAGCTCATCAGGCAACACCAAAGTGCGTTCGTTAAAGGACGATCCTTGCATGACAACTTCATGCTTGTGCAGTGCACGGCACGTCGTCTACACATGTTGAAATCCCCAACGGTTCTTCTGAAGTTGGACATCACCAAAGCTTTTGACTCGATAAGTTGGCCTTTTGTCATCGAGGTACTGAGGCGTTTTAGATTCGGAGAAAAATGGATTGCATGGATTTGTGGGCTGCTTGCAACTTCCTCCACAAGGATCATGGTGAATGGTATTCCTGGCAAACCAATTCTGGCATGTCAAGGCCTAAGACAAGGGGACCCTCTATCACCTATGCTCTTCATCCTGTGCATGGAGCCTCTCAAGGCCATGTTCAAATATGCCATGGACAGAGGATTGTTGGCACCGCTGGCGAGGAACGGATTGCAACAGCGGGTATCTATGTTCGCGGATGATGTAGTGGTGTTCTTCAAACCCAATGAGCTGGAAACAAGGACGTGCCGAGATATACTTGCGCTATTTGGGAAGGCTTCCGGCCTTGTTGTCAACATGGCCAAGAGTGTGGCCTTACCGATTCGATGCTCTCAGGAGGAGATGGATCTGGTCTCCTCTTCCTTGGGTTGTGCCAATGCCGCATTCCCGTGCAAGTATCTGGGGATGCCACTCACGATAAGAAAACCCACCACGGCGCAACTTCAAGATCTAGTGGACAAAGTTGCGGATTGCCTGCCACTGTGGAAAGCCGCTATGCTGCCAAAGAGCAGCAGACTGTTGTTAATCCAATCGGTACTATGTGCCATCCCGGTGCACTCGATGCTGGCTCTTGACCTGCCAAGGAAAACGTTAGTGGCGCTAACCAAGATCTGTAGAGGCTTTCTGTGGTGTGGAAAGAAGGAAGCAAACGGTGGGTCCTGTGCGGTCGCATGGGACGAAGTATGTACGCCCAAATGGGCAGGCGGACTGGGAGTGCCCAACTTGTTTTGGATGAATAAAGCACTACGGGCAAGATGGCCATGGCTACAAAAGGTTGACAAGGAGAGGCCTTGGGCAGAATTCTCCATCATGGTGCCAGCTGACTCACAAGCTTTGGTGCAAGCAGCTGCGAGGTCAGTAATTGGCAATGGCAGAAACACACTATTTTGGGAGGATAGGTGGATCGACGGTTTTCGTGTGTCTGAGCTGGCCCCGCGAATCTACAACCGAGTCACAAAGAGAGTGCGCCAATCTAAGCTGGTGGCGGATGCAATACACAACAACAACTGGGTTACCGACATTGGAACCAACCTACCACCAGAGGCTCTGGACGAATTCCTGAATCTTTGGCCAAGGGTTGCGGAAGTACAACTTGCTGACGAGATGGAAGACACGGCGAGGTGGATGTGGGAGCAGAATGGAGAGTTCTCGGCTCGTACGGCATATGCGGCTCGGTACATGGGGAGGGAGGTGTCCCCAACCGCTGCGTTTACCTGGCAGACAAAGGCGCCAAGGCGATGCCGGTTCTTTTCCTGGCTGGCGATAAGGAACAGATGCTGGACTTCAGATAGACTCGCTCGACGTGGACTACCCCACCAGGATACATGCCCGTTGTGCAACCAACATGATGAGACCATGCAGCACTTGTTGATGGAGTGTGTATTTGCGAGGCAGATTTGGTCGACAATGGGACGGCTGACGGAGAGGGTGGACATCGAGCCGAGGCAGAATGAACCGCTACAACAATGGTCGATGAGGCAGGACGGAAATTCAGACAGCGGGCGTGCGCACAAAGCAAAATGCCTTCTTGGGATGTGGATGATCTGGAAACAGCGGAATGACGTGATCTTTAATGGGGAGAGGCCGTCGATACCACGAACCATACAACGCATACAGGAGGAAGGTAGACTATGGGCGAAGGCGGGCTTGTTCAAAGGAAACAATGTAGGGTTCGAAGTAGAGCAGGAAACGGGGGGTACTAGCGAGTAGGTCTTTTGTGGTGTGAGGTAGAGCCGGACGAAGTCCGCATGTAAATAAGATTGTAATGTGGATTTGGGGTTCTCTCCCCTCCCTTCTTTAATGAATGATATGCACACTCGTGCATATTCGAGAAAAAAAGTGTCAAAAACGCTCTTATATCATGGGTCGCAGTGAGTATATCTTAAGTATGTCATTTAAGAAAACAATCTCATGTGTCATTCTATTTAACAAGGAAAAAAGATAATCGCCATATCTTAATCTGGATATATTTCTTAGCACCAAAACTAAGACAACCAATATTTTTTATCTCATAAACCACATTATATTAGAGCTCTTTTAGATACAACAATAATATATAATGCATTGGAGGGGTTATATCTAAGTGCATATTTAATGCAACGGTCTAAAATATAATGCATTGGAGGGTGCCCTTAGATTATATCTTAATCATGACATCCAAGAGGAAAAAAAATCTAAAGTGACACTTGTTAAATGAGAAAAGAGAGAAATATCATGTGTTAATATAGATCTAACTATTAGAACCAAGACCAAGACAACTCATATATTTTTCTCACATAAAACTCATTGAATGATAACTCTTTAGATAGAACAACAAGATACAATTCATTAGAGGAGCTACTGTATCCAAAATATATTTAATGCTTGCTTAATGATAATTGATAAAATTTGACATGACAAAAATTTAACATCGATCAGGAGGCAGTCGAAGAGTGATCCTAAGTGCAACAACACTAGTCCTAAGTTTAAGCAAACGGAAAATGAAACAACAACAAACTTGCCTTTGATTGTGCAGGTAGTCATAGTGTCCCGCCTTACTGTGGTCTCAATGCTCCACTATATATTTATCCCCCGTCTTGGTTTACTAGCCCCCTCGTATTTTGGGTCATATTTTAACCATGATTTTAATTAATAAAATATAAATTATTCATAGAAAAATAATATCATTGAAAGCAACATTGAGATACCAAGCCATCTCTCGACGCAGCCGGAAGAGGAAGGCAAGGAGAAGCAACCAGCCTCCCCTCGCCTAGGCGCGCACCACCGTCATATTCCGTTGGCCTCCCCCCTCCCCTCCCGGAAATTCTCAAATCCCTCAGAGCCAGTTTTTAGCTGATAGGCCCCCGGGTCAGCTCGTATTTGCACGGGCCGCGCGACCAGCATTATTCCCTGTTTTTTTTCCCTTTCGCCTCCCTCCCTGCTATTAGTACCGCCCGTGCGATTAGCATGTCTCTGCCCAATGCCACCGCCTCGCCGCCGTCGCCGGAACCCTAGGCCGCCGGAGTCGTCGGAGCTCCCCTCGTCGGCGCCGTCGGCGGGGGAGGTGGAGGATGCAGCTGCGGATCTCGCCGAGCATGCGCAGCATCACCATCTCCAGCAGCAATGGCGTCGTCGACTCCATGAAGGTGCGCGTCGCGCCGCAGCCGCCCCCGCCCCCGCCGCCGCTCGCGCCGCCGCCCGCCGCCCGCCGCGCCGGCGGGGCAGGCGGAGGGGGCGGGGGGTGGGGCGCCGCCTGGTACCTCCGCGCCGTCGCCTTCCCGGCCGTCGTCGCGCTCGGCTGCCTCCTGCCCTTCGCCTTCATCCTCCTCGCCGTGCCGGCGCTTGAGGCCGGCGGGACCAAGTGCTCCTCCATCGGTAAGGATAAGATCGATTCATGCCCCCCGCGGCCTAGTGATTCGGTGCTTTTGGGGCCCGGCGAACCTTGGATCTCACTGCCCTGGGCCGTGCGGTCTTGGCGGTATCGGTGGGAATGTGGAAATATGGAGATGGCTCATGCGTGGATTTCGTGCTGAAAACGTGTGGTTTGTTTGTTCCTCGATGATATAGGCTCACTTGTTCAGCTGGGGATTCAGCTTGCCCGGTTTCCTGATCTACCTCTGGTGTTTTGGAGTGAAACCAAGAGAGTTAGTCATTCGGGGTTATGATCAGGCTTTCGGCTTAGTTTAATTTCAGATCTCGGCCCCATGATTTTCTGTTATTGGCCAAAATGTAGTATCCTCACTCCCTAGTTTTGAACCATCGACTGGGTTGTGGATTTGGGCGCTGGAAATCCGCCACACTGTTGGATTTGGAAGGAATAGTTCTATCTTGCTTTTGAAATTCTTGCAAAACTGGATTAGAAAGGACACACCGGAAAATGCTATCAGCTTTCCCTACGTATCGTTATACCACAAGCTGCAACTGTTTGCTGATTAGCTGAACCCTACCCAAATTCTTTGCTTCTCATTGATAACTGAGGAGGCAGGGAGCTATTGCATTGCCTTTCATGCACCTGGTTGATCAATTCACCTGCAGAAAGCTTATTTGGCACTCTGCTCTGACCTGATTAGATTCTTAACTCAGGCTACCTTGTAGTTCTCCTCTCCAACCCTTTCAGCAAACTTACTGAGTTAGAGATTCAGGTGTCAGGTTTTGATGACGTTACCTCTGGAGATTTGAAGTGGAACCAAGAGAGTTAGTGATTTGGGTTTATGAATTATGATTAGGCTTTGGCTTAGTTATTTCTTTTTTTCATCTCGGCCGCATGATTGCCTGCTATTGGCCAAAATATAGGATCTTCATTCTCTAGTTTTCAGCCATCGATGGGTTAGCTTGGGGAGCTGGATTTAGCGCTTTCAGACGCACTGTTGGATTTCGAAGGAATTGGTTTTGAACTCTTTGCAAAACTGCAGTAGAAAGGATACCCTGAAAGATGCTATCAGCTTTCTCTTAATATCAGTCTACCTCTCTGCTGATTAGCTGAACCCTCTCTATCGCCCATTGAAGTTAAATGTGTTTACTGAAGCGTCCCTTGCAGCAGGCTTATTGCGCAATCTGCTCTGACCTGATTAGATTTTTAATTTGGGTTACTAGATAGTTCTCCCCTCCCAGTCTCAGCAAACCCTGGTCATGTTCGGACTAAGTAATCACTTTATTTGATGTTTTATTTTTAATTTGAAGTCTAATTTCTTTTTGCTGAGACTTTCAGTTCGCTGCCTTGTGTGCAGAGTTTTTTTTCTCCATAAGAGCTTGAATGTTGGTTTGTTGGATCTATCTCCCTGTTCAGCTTCATGGTTAGAAAATGAAAAAGATTCTCCTAGTACCATCCCAAACAGATGCGGAATATACCATCCACTGGGAGGATGAGATAGATGGCATAGGTCCAAATGCCTGCTTTTAACTTTTTGATTTTTGCAATAGTGCTCACCCCATTTGGCCCTAAAAAATGTAACCCATATTTTGATAAGTCAAGTTACCACTTACCATACTGATGCCTTTGGTGATAGACATTTTGCCTGGGTGCTAAACCATATTTTGACTCTTGAGCTTCTCTATAGCAGCGACTATTGATGTTGGCCAAATAGGCTCCACATTTTGGCTCTTGAGCTTCTCTATAGTACTCCCTCCGTTCCTAAATATTTGTCTTTCTAGAGATTTCAAATGGACTACCATATACGGATGTATATAGACATATTTTAGAGTGTAGATTCACTCATTTTGCTCCGTATGTAGTCACCTGTTGAAATCTCTAGAAAGACAAATATTTAGGAACGGAGGGAGTAGTGGCCAGAGATCTTGGCCAATAGGCTCCAAGAATATGCTAGTTTTTGTGTATGGAAAGGATCTCCTTGTTTGGATTGTGATGTGTAAGCTTTCTAGCTCAGATGTAGGCATATGTTTTTCTCAAGCTGCTGATATGGCACTAGGAAGATTGTGTTTGTCCATGAGTTGTCGGTATTTTGGTCCTCTAGATGTGTATTTTGTTGGATGTCATGTTTTTCTTATGGTTAGCTATCTTGTTCTATGAGCTCTACATGTACAAGTTTGCTGCACATATTTGGTGTAACTGTTGCAATCCTGATCTGCAGATTGCTTGGGGAGGCGAATAGGACCTAGTTTCCTTGGTAGGCAGGGGGGTGATTCTACGGTAAGACACTTAACTCGTTGACTAATTCTGTTGGTAAAACATGATTTGTAGAGGGGAATATGTATTTACTTTTTTTACTTGTTGGGAACAGAGACTGGTGCAAGACCTGTATAGGATTTTTGATCAAGTTAACAATGAGGAATCCACTTCTGATAAGAAGTTACCAGAATCATTCAGGGAGTTTCTTTCGGAGATGAAGGATAACCATTACGACGCTAGGACATTTGCTGTCAGGTTGAAGGCTACGGTATGAAACTAACAGTGCTACTTTAATCTGTACTGTTGCATTATTTGAAGCTCAAATTTGCACTGGCTTGGATTTTAAAGCATCCGAAGACCATATTTTGTTGTTTAGCCAGCTCATATTTCTATATTTCTAGAGCTATATTTTATTTAATCTTCGGGTATACCCTTATATTGTTTGCAGAATTACATGCTATATGATTAGATATGTAAAACTTGAAATTTTGGCATGTGTGTTGCAAAAATTAGCTCGCACGCTATTTTACAGACATATCCATGTTTTCTACATTGCATAATTGTGTTGGATAACTTAGGAAGGGAAAGTATCACCTAGGAATTGAGGCACCATCTTTTTTAACTATATAAGAAAAGAGGCTGTTATTGTTTTTTTAACATGACAGATTTGAGATAGGAATGTCTGCTGTACCCAAACCTCTCAAACTTCTGATACTAAAGTATTTTTGAGAAAGCACTGCATTCTCTAAATCCTTCAGAAGACTGGATCCGAACAATCATGTATTGCTACTTGGCGCGTGCCTCAGCAGCTAACTTCTCAAGCTAAATTTGTTTTGTGATACGGGTAGTCTTCAATATGGTTTGTACTATGTGTTTCTGTGCAAAATCTAAGAAACTCAAAATATTGTTAAGTGGAAGAAACAGTCACTCTGGATTGTGCAAAGTTTTTTATATCTTTCTGTGATCTGGGACATAGCCATAGAATTAGTAGGTTGAACTGCATTTTTTAATGTACATGATAATTCTGCCCTTGTGTGAGAACACGGAGTCTCTATCACCATATGCTGTGATCTACACAACTTACCAAGAAATCGTTTCTAAAAAATTTGCAGGCATGATATGCTCTTTGTTGTTTGTGATCTTTTGAAAAAGTGTATCTAACTCACATTTCGCTAGGGGTGTTTTGCAGCTGATTCATGTAATTTACCATGACTTGCAACTAAATTACCTTTTACCTTGCCATTTTTGGAGCACGCGTTTCTGCAGTTCTGGTCATTTTGCAATTTTATTTTACTAGCTTGATTTGTTATATACTGGTTTGTAGAATTCCGCACTTGTCCTTGCTGGCACAATTTATCTTAGTTCATGGCTATTATTCCTGGTTTGCTATATGCTATAAAGCTTTGCATTTTGTTTCCAAACTATGTTTAATTAGTCATGTGCTTCTTTGCAGATGAAAAACATGGATAAGGAGGTAAAGAGGTCAAGGCTCGCAGAACAGCTGTATAAACATTATGCTTCAACTGCTATTCCCAAAGGCATTCATTGCCTGTCTCTGCGCCTTACCGATGAATACTCCTCAAATGCTCATGCAAGGAAACAGTTGCCACCACCTGAACTGTTACCGTTGCTTTCTGATAATTCCTTCCAGCATTATATTCTTGCTAGTGATAACATCCTTGCTGCTTCAGTCGTTGTCAGCTCAACTGTACGGTCTTCCTCGGTACCTGAGAAAGTAGTCTTCCATGTTATCACTGATAAAAAAACATATCCAGGGATGCATTCATGGTTTGCCCTTAATTCTGTATCACCTGCAATAGTTGAAGTGAAAGGTGTTCATCAGTTTGACTGGTTGACCAGAGAGAATGTCCCAGTACTAGAGGCTATAGAAAACCACCGTGGAGTCAGAAATCACTATCATGGAGATCATGGAACAGTTTCCAGTGCAAGTGACAACCCAAGGGTGCTTGCTTCCAAGCTGCAGGCCCGAAGCCCCAAATACATATCCCTGCTTAACCATCTGCGCATCTATTTGCCTGAGGTGCCTTTTGATCAGAAATGTTCTCTTCCTTGGCTTTCTATCTATTACAAGTGGCTGTTCTTTGTGTCAAATGTTTTGGATTGTCGTGCAAGACTGCAAGTGTATAGCTTTCAAGTAGTATGTTTACAACTAGTATATTCCATGATCATGATAAGATTAATGTCATGCCATGGCACATTTCAACAACTTATTATTAGTGGTTACCTTAGAGGCACCTTCTTTCTTATTGAGTTCACTTTGTTGCCTGCTAGCATTCTTGCACAATAGAACAATGATGTGAAAATGTATCACTAAATCGATGGTTGGGGCAAACTCAAATAAAATCATATGTAATAAATATGCTCCGATCTAGGTTATGCAGCCAATGTGAATTAAATTTCCTTTTTTGTGGCATCAGGGGTTTGCCAAAATAGCATTAAAATGTGTTCAAGCATGGAAAATTGCTTAATATGACATTTATGGCAACTAACTAAGTAAAGATATGGTCTATCCACGTATACCAAGTTGATGAATGCTGAAACCTGCCAAGATAGATATCCAACCACCCATCTCATTGTTAATATCCATGTTTGATTTTCTTTCTATATGATACTAAGACGAAAAGGTGCATTTGTGTTCTTCCTGCACGATTGCCACATTCATTCTGCTTGCTGCTAAAATGTGCCACCCTCTCCTCTTCTAGATGCTGTTATCTTTTTGTCCAATTCTGGCATATTCTTTACTTGTGTCGATACTGTTTTTGCTTGTAAGGTCATGGCTGATGGTATGTTGTGATTCTCACAATTCCTAAACCTAATGCTGTTCTCATTAAACCAGCTCTTTCCAAGCCTCAACAAGGTGGTCTTCCTTGATGATGACATTGTTGTTCAGCGTGATTTATCTCCTCTTTGGGAGATTGATCTTGAAGGAAAGGTGAATGGTGCTGTGGAGACATGCAGAGGTGAAGATAATTGGGTGATGTCTAAGCGCTTCAGGACATATTTCAACTTCTCTCACCCTGTTATAGATCGAAGTCTTGACCCAGATGAATGTGCATGGGCATATGGGATGAATGTCTTTGATCTGGAAGCTTGGAGGAAGACAAACATTAGGGATACATACCATTTCTGGTTGAAGGAGGTAACACATTTTAACCTTGCAAAAACCTCCTAAGTTTAATCAGTCAACTTAAGGTACAATCTTATATATGAATAAGTTGATTCTTTGAAGAACCACACATCTATAATTTGCGCTGCATAGTTTAGTAATGTCATTTCCAACTTGAAAATGTTCAGGCTTCAGTCATGTTTTATGTCACATTTGTGCTGTCTAGTGTTCCAAACTGTGTATGAAGTACTTGATTTTAACATCTGTTGTATAACTGTTAAAGAAATAATGAAAATTTTATTTCCCTATCTGCAATCCTGTGTTGTCTTCACTTCTCCATACATAGAGTGAAACACTTGCCTATATCAAATGCCACTTGGGTATGAAGAATAGTTACTCACAAATTTTGTTTCAAGCTTAAACTTTGTGATGCTAATACATGCTATAGTTGTTGGCACTGTTGGTCATCTTCATAATTGTTCCATTTTTTTGCAGAATCTAAAAGCCGGTCTTACTCTCTGGAAATTTGGTACTTTACCACCTGCGCTTATAGCATTCAGGGGTCATGTCCATGGTATCGACCCATCTTGGCACATGCTTGGCTTAGGATACCAAGAAAGCACGGACATCGAAAGTGTTAAGAAGGCTGCAGTGATCCACTACAATGGTCAGTGCAAACCATGGCTAGACATTGCTTTTAAAAACTTGCAACCGTTTTGGACCAAGCACGTAAATTACTCCAACGACTTCATTAGAAACTGCCATATTTTGGAGCCCCTATACGACAGATAAGGACTTTGGACAAATGGTGTAGACACACTGAACTGAGGGGGCATAGCCCCGCCATTCATTTGCTTACTGGAGAGGTGGATTGCTGTTGAAGGAGGAAAGCAATCATCAGTGAATACATACATATATCTCTGACACGCCCCTGCACCAACCGAGTTGCAGATACCTCGATACTTTGATCTGTATCATATGGGCACACGATTCTTTTCATCTGTATCATATTGGTTGGTCATTCTTTTGGACAGTGTTAACTATCAAGGGTAGCTTGGTGAGGTCTCTTCCTCTGGGATTGGGCTGATCCATTATCGGAGAATAATGCAGCGGATGGTTTAGCAAATGGAACATGGATTTATCACGGTGAAGAAAGGAGGCAGCTAAGGTCGTGACAGTTTATAATGTTTATTTTTCCTCCATCTATTCTTTTTTCCTTCTTAAAATTTTGTTCTGCTAGTTTTGTGATCGTTCTGGTAGAGGTTGGAGAAGACTGTAGTAGATATGCCATTGCTGCGAGTACCTACAGGATATTGTTACAACTGAGGAATGTGCAGATATTAATTCTTTGAAGTTAGGAGTCGTCGCAACACCTATGTTTTTTGTTTTGTTTGCGGGGAAGCAAACACCTACTCGAGCTGATGTTAGAGCAACTAAAACTCTACTCGAGCTGATGTTAGAGCAACTCCAACTGGCCGACCCAAGTGGACCCGCGTTTTGTTTGCTCTTTAGGCCCCGCTTGGAATCCCTGTAGAAGTTTTACATCCGTATATGAATACCCTTGTATATTACAGGAGATTTGTAAAATACAACCGGATATTCCCACATGTATATGCTGCGCTTGGTTCGTCGGATTTTTGCTTGTTTCGGAGAGTCTCTCCCGTGCGCTATGCCGTTGGCTACCAGAAGAACGAGCGCCAGGCGTCGTCACAGCGCGGCCACAGCGGACGCAGGATCCTGCTGCAGTGGCGAAGGCAATCCGGCGGCAGCGGGGACGCCGTGGACCGGTGGTGGTGTAGGCGGACGTTGGGTGCTGCAGCGGTGTTTGGTTGCAGTGGCGGCGAGCGCACGCGCTCCGGCAGCGGCGCGGACGCTGCGGCACCGTCGACTCGAAGCTCGGCGGCGCGCAAGCACCCATGGTGGTGGCTGCGGACACTCGGCGTCAATGGCGGGCCGTGGTGGTGAAGCTGATGCGGCAGGATTGCAGGAGGCGACTGCGCTGGTGATGATGGTGTCTCCGGGGAACTACGGCGGCGCTCCGGCGAGCGGTGGCGGTGGCCTCGGCGTGCTCCGGTTGAGCCGTTGCGGCACTTACCTCGGTTGTGGCTACCTAGTCAATCACGACCGAGCAAGAATGGCGGAATGCCAGCGACTAGGGAAAACGACGGACATAGCAGTGTTTTGCAAACCGACGGAATACCAACGATATCCAAGTGTAAAGTGAAACCGGGTGTAAAAGTTACGACGCAAAAACGACGATCCAAGTAGCTCGTCCGTTTTATTTTTACGGGGGTATACTTTACACGTGTAGATGGCTGGAAAACGGCAATCCAAGCGCAGCCTTATCTGTTTGGGTCGCCCTAGCGGGTACTTTTGTCTGCTTTTTGATTTGGGTCGGGGGTCGGTATATGCACCCAACGGTGCTGTCGCAGTTGTGAGACGTCCGCTTTCCGGCATTTCATCAAACGCCTAGGAGGCACAGAGGCGGCGCGCAGGAGGATGCCGCGGAGCACGGAGGTCCTCGAAGGGCAACTCCAGCTGCATCCATGGCCACAGTCGCTGCCTGGACTGCCGCCACGTCGGCGCTGCAACTTGGCCTCCATGGCCACGTGGGCGCTGCAACTTGGTCGAGGCCGGCAGCGGCAGCAGGCGAGCAGCTCCTACCTAGCCATGGTGGGCTCTTGCTGCTGCGCGGTAGAGAAGCGCAGCGCGCTGCGGCGAGCGCGGCGGGGCGAGTCCGTGAACTGGAGGAAGTCCACGAGCGGGGCGAGCGCGGCCATGACTAGCGCGGCAAAGCGAGCGATGCGAGCGGGGCAAGCGTGGCCACGGCGAGCGAACGACACGGCGAGCCGGGCGAGCGAAGGCCACGGCGATTGTGCATGCAGCAGCAGCTAGCATGCGGCTGTGCACGCACGCACGCACGCACGCGGCCAGCAACGAGCGTCCGACCTGCGTCTGATCAGTATCCGACGAATGTCCGACCTACGTCTGACCTGCCCCTGACGAGCTACCGTGCGTGCGCGCTAGCGCCCGCGGCTTCTCCTCTTCTGAGGCCGAGTCGTCCAACCAACGCCGCCTGCGCCCTATCCGCACCATCGTCCCCACGCCGGAGAAGAAGACCAAGAAGCCGGCGGGGGCCTCGATCCGTGCCAAGCTCAGGAACCTCCGCAAGCCGGCATCCCCCGATGCGCGTTGGGAGGCACGGCCGGGCGCGCGAGCACCGCGAGCGGCGTGGCGGCCAGGCGCCCGAGAGCTACGGCGGTCGGGTTCTCTTCTTCGTGGCAGTGGATCGCAGTGGAGGCGGCGGAGGCCGCCTGGGCCGCGCAGGGAACTCCGGAGGCGACGAGGTTCCGCGGTGCGGCGGCGGCGACCTGCGGCAGCGACCAGTGGGCCAGCGAATAAAGTGACACACGGATGGGTGGATGATAGGCGGGTTAGGCCCGGACACACACGGATGAGGGGACGCAGAAAAGCGTTCGCTTTCGATCCAATGTGTCCTAAATTTGGGACGAAAATGGATCTGCGCGAAAACAAAATAGACAAGAAATAGGAATGAGTCTGTGCGTTGGGCGTTGTCTTTTATCCGTGCGCACGCAAACGGATGCAGGCGGATAATTCGGTCGCTTCGTTGGAGTTGCTCTTACATCCTTGAACCGAGAACATCTTTTCACCGCCTACTGGAACTAAAACCACCGCCTTGCCACGCCCACAACCGTCACCCCCAAGTGGTCCTCTCTCCCTTCCTCCCCTCTCCCTCTCCCTCTCCCCTAGGGGTGCAGTGCGGCGACCGACACGCCCCACTCCACAGTAAAAATCAATCGTCTTAGTTATAACTTTTCAGGTGGGATTTAGCTTAGTTTGAACTAATTTCCTAGTTATACGGGACTATACGGGATGCCCCCTTGCACCCCTACCCCACCTCTCGCTAGTGTTAAGAGGAGGCTGTGGCTGGACTTTGGGCCAATTTCGAATGGCTGTGCAGTTGCCGAGGCAGCATGGGGAAGTGGAGGCGCCCACGTCCCATCGGGCGCCACGCATCAGCTTGGCCCGCAGGCGATTAGGACCCGTGGCGCTTCGCCCTTGTCTTTGGCTTTGCCTCGAAGCCAAGTTCGAGCGTGCCTTGGGCTCGGGGGTTACTGTCGGTGTTTTGGGAACCAGGGTACCCAGACTTGCCTGCCTGCGGCCCATGGAGTGGCTCCATCTCGATGGCTTGGTACGGCCCATCTACAAGACCATCAAGACAAGACCATCATGGTTACACATGCGGTTGGGTATTTTGATTCGAGTCTGGTGTCAAGTTCTCTACAACCGGATATTAACAAATTCTCATCTGCCACATAACTGCGAGCACGACTCTCGAAAGTTTAAACCCTGCAGGGGTGTCCCAACTTAGCCCATTATAAGCTCACGATCCGCGAAGACAATCCTCCATCGCGGGACATCTGATCAGACTCGAGATCCCGGTGCACAAGTCATTTCGACAATGGTAAAACAAGACCAGCAAGACCACCCGACTGTGCCGACAAATCCCGATAGGAGCTGCACATATCTCGTTCTCAGGGCACACCCGATGGGACAAGCTACGAATAAAACCAGCCCTCAAGTTTCCCCGAGATGGCCCCGCAGGCTGCCCAGTTCGGACAAACACTTAGAGAAGCACTGGCCCGGGGGGGGGGGTTAAAATAGAGATGACCCTTGGGTTTATAACTCCCAAGGGAAAGGTTTAGGTTGTTAGGCAAATGGAAAACCAAGGTTGGGCCTTGCTGGAGGAGTTTTATTCAAAGCGAACTGTCAAGAGGGTCCCATACCCCTCACTGTGTTAGGGACGCAAAATCAAGGAACATAACACCGGTATGACGGAAACTAGGGCGACAAGAGTGAAACAAAACACCAGGCATAAGGCCGAGCCTTCCACCCTTTACCAAGTATATAGATGCATTAAATTAAATAAGAGATATTGTGATATCCCAACATAATCATGTTCCAACATGGAGCAAACTTCAACTTCACCTGCAACTAACAACTCTATAAGAGGGGCTGAGCAAAAGCGGTAACATAGCCAAACAACGGTTTTCTAGGAAGGGTGAAAAAGGTTAGAGGCTGACATGACAATTTTGGGAGGCTTGATAAACAAGTGGTAGGAAGCGCGACATAGCGATAGCATCGAAACAACTAGCATAGCAATGATAGTAGTGAGATCCAAGGTAACGGTCATCTTGCCCGAAATCCCGCTAGGAAGAAGAACGAGTCCATGAAGAAGACGAACGGGTGAAGACGAACCAACCATAGTCGAACGAATTCTCACGATCGCAACGAAACCGAAACTATCGAGAAGAAGCACAACCGGAAAGAAGCAAACAACATGGTAAACACACAACACATAAGCATGACATGATGCTCAACCAAATATGATGCATGACAAAGGCTATATGATGCTACTGATGGCAAGAGATAATGCATACAAGAATAACACATCAAAGCAAGTTTAAATGAGGTCGGAAACAATATATAACAAATCCGGTAAGTCCTCATATGCAAATTTCAAAATTGGTCCAGATCTGAATAAACCTTATGTTCAAGTTGTTAAACAGCAAGTTAAGATGTACCAAGATGATCTACGCGAAAATCTAGTCAAGTTACATATAAAGTTCATTTAATTCGGAGTTACGACCTAGAAGATATGAGCAAAACAAGTTAAACATGGCATTGATGCAAAATGCATTCAAACATCAAGCAAACACACTCAAAACAAGGATTAAACGTGATGTTATGAAACTACATGCAATTCTAAG